GGCTCTCGAAAATCGCTACTTGGTGACGTGTTCACGGCTCGATTATCACTTAAGATATAATTACGCTTTAGTTACGAGCAGTAAACAGATGCGCGATCACGTTACTACGAGCGGGCATGCGGTTTACGAGCGCGGCGCGTCATCGGAGTCGCCTTTAGCCCTAACTCCACCGACAGCGCGACTGCGGGCAGGAACGATGCGCTAGTGCACTTGTGGCGACGTGCTTTTTGCGTAAGCAACGAAGCTGTGAGCGGCGGCACGATCTGATTAGTACGAGTGGCCGCACCGGATGCACGATCAGATTACTACGAGCGGGCGTGCGGTCTACGAGCGTGGCGCGCCATCAGAGTCGGTTTTAGCCCTACCTCCGCTGACAGCGAGACTGCGGGCAGGAACGACGGCGCGCAAGCGCACTCTTGGCGACGTGCTTCTTCGCAAAGAATGAAGCACATCACTCGCTAGCTCGTCTAAACCACGTACGGGCATTTTAGGCATCGGCAGCGGACAACAGAGTCAAACTCGCTCGCCACCCCCCCCCCCCCCCCTCACTGCCAAGGATTGCTCGGAACAGCGGCTAGCAGTTTCGTGCGACGTCACTCGAGAATGCGATGCCAAGCGCAGTGCGCGCCGATTTTTTTGTCATCGTAGTGACACATTTCGCGCATCGTCACCGAACGCCGGCGCCAAGTGCATCACGCGCCGGCTGCACTGTCCACGCGGCCACGCACTCCACCGTCATATGGAGTGCTGACAATGAGCTTTTTTTGATGTGATTTAGACGTGCTTGGAGCCGTGCTTGGAGCCGTGCTTGATATCGCCACGAATGTCTATGAATGTTCCGAGGCAATGAAAGCCTCTTAGATTAGAGTTTCCGCGATGGGCTGTATGACGATGCTTCACGGCTAGAGCGGTAAAAAAGCATATATGAATCAGGGGCATGAATTTTTATATGCCCGTTTCGCGTCACTAATTATACTGCTAAACATTCCTGTGCCACCAGTCTTATGCCCATAACTTTGTTATTTGGAAAGAAGGCATAGGCCGTCATGGTGTGATCCATTTTTCTGATGCAATAAACATCTCTCCAAATAAAGAAATGTTCAGTGATTATTTATAATCAAGTACTTAATTACAACTTCAGCACAAAAAATATGTGTAATCATTTCAGTATATGGTCTTATTCAATTACAATCTTTTCTGTCATACCTATCACACCACTCCATACAAAGAGCTTGGTCTGAAATCCATACTTGTTCTTTGTAAATCATGAAAAGGAGTAAATCATGAAAAGTCAAATATCACAAGACAAACCTGAGATCAAAATTTTTAGGTGTCTTAGGGACGTAAAGAAAAGTTGAAACTTTAAACGCAGTTTTCTCAATACTGTTATTTTGACATTATGCTCAGCCCCTCCACATGGTTCAATGAAGAAATAATTTGTTTCTCGTAAACTATTTGTGGTATCGCTTCAAAATTTTTATGGAAGCACTGTGAGGTCATTCTTAGTGTCTGTGCCAATTTTCATCAATACCCAATGAGAAACAAGAAAGTTTATCGAAAAAAGCCAGTCGAAAAACTTCTACAGGCTTTTTCTCACAAGTGTGTTTTGGACATTGTGCATTGCTCGTGGAAAGAGTAGCAGGAGAATGATTGGACCGAATTTGATTCTGTTTTTTTTCCCTGAATCCCTGAACACTGCGTGTGGGTACAGCAATCTTCAATTTGTTTTATGCCAGTTTTTTTTTCTAGACGATGATTTCTCCACGCCACTGTTTCTGACAATGCGTGTCGGCAGCCATGATGATCTCCAAAAAAAGAGAACTTGTTAAGGAATCCTGAGAGTGCCATACCCTTTCTTTTTCTTTTGAGTAAAGATCAACACCATTCACAGCTTCCTGGCATGTTTTGTTATAGCGCTAGGCTTTCCACGAGCAGACCATAAAATTGGACCATGTAGCATTATGTAACTTGAGAACTACTGAAGGTATAGTGATGAAACTGCATATTGTTCTATTCGAGACACTTATGAGTATGCATGCCAAATTTCATTGCTGTAGGTCAACAAACAAAAAAGTTTTTTTTTTTTTCAATGCCACCTCCCCACTTAGGCTGCTACAAGACAAAACGCTCGCGTTCAAAGGCGAGACGTGCACCGGTGGCAAGCATGCAAAAGACAAAATATGAGTGGCATTTTGCGTAAACATGACTGGAACTGACAAAACTCCGCTCCTCGTGATTGGAAAGTCGGCGAAGCTTAGATGTTTCAAAGGCACCCGGTTGCCATCAGAGGTCATCTATCGCAGCAACACCAAAGCCTGGATGACGGCAAAACTCTTTGAGTACGTGCGCCTCATCGATCGTCGTTTTGCGGCTAAGAACAGAACAGTTGTTATTATTTTAGACAACGCTTCGGCGCACGCCGCCTTGGACAACCTGACGGCTGTGAAGTTGGCGCTTCTGCCACCAAACACAACAGCGATTGCCCAGCCCTTGGACCAAGGCATCATTCGAGCTGTAAAACAGCTCTACAAGAAGAATCTGCTGCACAGATTTCTTCTCGCCATTGAATGTGGCAAATTATTCTCCATCGACCTGATTGGCGCGATTCACCTGCTCGAATACTAGTGGCGGCAGGTTGAAGCAACCACAGTTTAAGATTGCTTCCAGCGTGCAGGCTTCAGTGTGTGTGCGGGTGACGCAGATGACGCCAGTGACACCATCGACCAGACTTTGGACATCGTAGACGAAGCTTGCAAAACTCTGCTAGCTGAAGTGCTGGAGCGGCAGGGCGTTACTCTTCAGAGACGCAGACAGTGATGTTCAGACATCTCAGGACATGTCCGATGAAGCCATTGTTGCCTCGGTTGTCGAAGTGTCGCCAAATGATAGTGATAAGGACGACATGGAAAGCAACAACACGAGTGATCCAGGTCCGACAGTGGCCGAAGCTGCGCATTGCGTCAGCATCATGCGGGTATTTGTCCAGAAGAGGGGGCTGGCGGAAAAGCTGGCTCACAGCATAAGTGAGTTTGAGGCCGCTGTCGTTGCTGCTAGGCCGCCGCGTCGTCAAATGAAGATTACAGACTGTCACGCGAAGTTAATAAATTACTGAGAGTTTTTTGTTCTTTCACCGCACTCCCTGAAGGTTTCTTTTTTTGACAGGTAAGTGAGCGACCTGACGCTATTTTAGTTAAGCAGTACTACCGTTTAGTACATACTTTTTCCGAGCTCTGGCCAACTACGGTTTAACGAGGTTTTACTGTATATAGACACGTACACATATACGGTGAATGACGGCAGCGATTGCAAAAAAACCAGTCCGAGACTGTCCATAAAACTGCTATCAAAAAAAAAAAAAAAAGAGAGCAAAGCCGAATGTTGTCAGGAAGCCACACCAAGCGCACAGCGAAACTATGCACGTGCACACGGTGTCAAGAACGAAGAGGGAACGACACGGATACAGACACCACGGAAAACTATTCGGTTAAGGGCCCTCCATATGCAACGTGGCCCCACATACGTGATGCTAACTAAAAGCGCAGCACTGCCAACGTGCAAAGGCAGTTTTTTTTTGTGTGTGTGTGTTAGGGGGGGGGGGGGAGAGGCAACCTCGCGCATGCTTCCGCGGCGGCGAAAATGGCGGCAACGCAGGGTCATGGGGTGTAAGCCTGCCTGCCCACATCTCGCTCATCCGTGCAGCGCTCGCTCTCGCCTGATGCACCCTGCGCGCCGCCGTCGCTTCGTCGGGTCGACGGCTGAAAGCGGCGGAAGACACATGCTCGTACCAAAATGCTGTAATGTGGAGTGAAAATTCCTAGATTGTCCGTGGGGAAAATTCCTTATATCAAGGTTGTCTCCCACTGTTACTTTGTTACATAGAGATAGCAAATACATGTGCTTCTATGAAGCAATGGTGGGGAATAGAAAAATTTCGTTATATAGAGAAATTCGTTATATGGAGGTTCGTTATATGCAGGTTTAATTGTATCCGAAGGCACGCAAAAATACTGTTCGATATAAATGTGTGAATTTCTACAGTTTTACAAAGGAATTTCAAGGAGATAACTTACGAGTTCGATATACCCAAAAATTCAATATATGTGGGTTCGATATAACAGTGTTCGACTGTATAATGGTGTACGTACACTGCTCGGTTTTGTTATTTGAACTTCTCATTCAACTTATTTTATAGACTGAAAAGCTGAAAGCTGTCGTGAATTCACAGAAATGTTGCAGCACACAGACACTAATTGACCTTGCCATGCAGAAGGTCGCAATGTTTCCTGAAATGCTGCAAATGGATGGAATCAGCACTTTGTTGCTCTTCAAAAGACAGTAGGATTGGGCGTGTTGGTATAACATGATAAAGAGTGCTCACCAGCGCAAACGACGGGACAGGAGGGGACAGGAGAAGAGATGAGACAGAGCGCTGAACTGCCAACAATTTATTTTTTGGGAAGGTCATCGTTGGTCAAACAGGTCACTGTATAAATGAGAGGCTGAGGGAACATATGTACAATGTGGATCACTATAAACAAAGATGGCTGTCCGTTCACTGCAGCACGTGTGGCTGCCAGCCAATATTTTCAGAGTGTACTATTGTCGCAAGATGCAGGGATCGAACCACATGCGAGATCACAGAGGCAGAAAAGATTTGCGCATTGAAAGATGTTTGTGTTAGAAACCCTTCTGTCGCGCTCACCGAAAAGGAAAAGTTGCTCCTTTGCTTGCTGGTGTGATGTACTTATGCATTATCATTGTGTTTCGCGCATGATTGTTGCGACTGGAAACTGTATAAAAGCGAAGACCTTGGCAAGAAATAAATTGTAGGCAGTTCAGCACTCTGTCTCGTTTCTTCTCCTGTCCCCTACTGTCCCATGGTTTGCACTGGTGAGCACTCCTTATTATGCTCTTCAAAAACTGTCCACCACACATTGTGGCCTTCCACACAACTGTTTCCACCAGAAAACGCGGAAAAGAGGCGAGAAGTGAACACCCACCACAAGCCTGTTGGTGACCTTGGCAGCCACCATGCCAAAAGCAATGATGTACAGGCATGGGTGGTTTTCGTAGATGCTGGTGCTCGACTTCTGGTAGATGATGAACGCCGGAACCACTACCAGTGCGATGGGGATGCTCGGAGAAAGAACACTTGTGCCCTGTTCAGCCAAACAAAGAAATGGCCGCGGTCAGTCTACGAAATATCTCGACACAACAACCTCGAATTTGTGCAATGAAACAAGCACAGAAGTCTAGAGTCCACTCAACCTGCTTTTGAGCGTCAAGGCCCCGAAGGAAAAAACGCATCTTAAACACTATTTGTAACTGGGACATTAAAGCATTTAAAATGCATTCCAAAGCTAAATATCTACAGTCACACAGTGTTGCCGGAATGAGACCCAAAATGTGGTTCTCTTTAATTTAGCAAACAAAGTTTGATATCATGCAATCACTTTTTTCTATAGTTGATTGATTTGTGGGGTTTAACGTCCCAAAACCACCATATAATTATGAGAGATGCCGTAGTGGTGGGCTCCGGAAATTTCGACCACCTGGGGTTGTTTAACGTGCATCTAAATCTGAGCACATGGTTTCTTTTATGGTTTGGAATATGTTTAGTAAGGGTTGCGGGTGTCTTCTGAATGAACCTCCTTTAGTTCCCTATGCTATAAATAGGAATCAAGGAGAGATGGCAAATTGAAAAACGCAAGTTTTTTTTGCCCGAAAATTACATATCTTTACTTTCTCTACTTTAACAACATAAAACTGAAGGTTGTAATTATATTCCAAGTAGGTTAAAATCTCTTTTGAAGAACACAAAAGGGCTACTAAAAAACTAAATGTGCTGATTGTTTAGAGCCTTCTGAAAATTGTCACCTGGCTGTGACATCGCATGTTGCATGAGGAGCTCACTAAAGCCACATGCTTAAATTAACCATGATTGCCAAGCTCTGAAGATGGAAGAAATCATCTTAAAAAAACTTGTCTTGTCCAGATAAAAGAGCTTTCACGTACTTCTTTAAAATGAGTTTTTCTAATTATCCATTTTTGGGCAACTTCTTAAGTTTGGACATCATGTTTTTAGTACTTGTGAAAGTCCGATTAGACTGAAATTTTGATTGATGATTTATCTGGGGGTTTAACGTCTCAAAACCACCATATGATTATGAGAGACGCCATAGGGCTCTGGAAATTTCCCCCTGGGTTTCTTTAACGTGCACCCAAATCTGAGCCCCTAAGCCTGCAACATTTTTACCTCCATTGAAAACGCAGCTGCCACAGCGGGGATTCAAACCCGCGACCGACGGGTCCATAGCCGAGTACCTCAGCCATTAGACCACCGCAGCGAGGCACTGAAATTTGGCCACATATTCCTTGACATGCGAAGGGTGCAAGTATCTCATTTAAGGCATTATGTTGCCTGAATAATTATGTGCATGAAGTAATCAATTAGTATGGGTTGAGTTCCCTAAAAATTCTCACAAAACAATTCTTTTTGTTCATCGAAATATTTTACACGGAATTCTTTGATGATTGTATGCATTCTACAGTTATTTCAGAGAAATATAGGTGGCTTATCACCATGAAAGTTTAGTGGCATAAACATTTGTTTAAAATGAACTATACTTGACACATTGTCATTGCATAAAATGAAAACTGTACAACTTCCTACGAAACTAATTACATATTTGAAATCAGCATTAAAGCCCATATATACAGTAAAACTTTCATTGCCCTAGGCTACAGACTAATGCAGTATTTTTTTTTTTTTTTTTTTTCAAATTGCGTCTCCCCTAAATGAAACTTCTACAGCTGTGTGAACAGCAAAATTTTGAGTGTGAAAAGAGTTCATAGTATGAAGTTTTAAGTACAAATCAAACTGAATGCGTTGTAAGATATCTGGTCAATATATTTCAAATACTTCAAAGTGACATTGCAGAAAATATGTAGCAGAGGACCTCTAAGCACATCCTTACGAGAAAGGAACATCGAAGTGTTTCTTTGGCAAGCTTGATGAAGTACCGGAAAGATGATATTCCACAGATGTTTTATTGAGGATCAGAGAATGCAGAGGCTAAACTATATTTATGTGATTTGGTGCAACCAAAGTGGTGTCAGAACTCTTGACATGTGAACCAAAAAGACACTATATTTTTTCTTTCAACATCTGTGAAGGTCCAACTGATGTGGCGGACAAGCCCTATGAATTCAGAGTTCCTAAGCTGCCTCATAGACATCCACATATATAGAAACGTCTGTGATTACGGGTGCCAAAAATCTTTGACGTCTAACTTTCTGCTTGAATTTCAGGTCCAAAACGACATTAATTAAGCCACCACCTCTGCCACACCTATCAACTCCATGTTGGAACCACCGTTTCCTTGAGTTAATACATTTGTGACCGTAGCAGAGTCTGAAAGGTAGCTCTACTGAAATGCGAGTGTGTAATGGAAAAAAAAAAAAAAAAAAAAATCTCAGGGGGCCACTGCCAATCTGACGATGACCGTATTTGTCTTCGTAAAGTTTGCATACTTCGAATAGTAAAACTCTGGTGCGAATCAAATCAAAGAGCAAACACTATTTGAGATATATTCGAAAATTAAAGTACTCCCACACCCCTAAAAAATTGTTTATAACAAAAAAAAAAAAAGAATTCTTGTGAAGTTAAAAAAATGATGAAAAACCCCACTCTAGTTCTCTCTTTCAGGTTGCAAAATCCACATCTGTTCATCCTTTAGCGACTACTTACACCAAAACTTGTGCTCACCAGAACGATTTGTCTAGGAGTGAACATATTCTTCAGCAAGCGCAAACTTAGTTCAGAAAAGGCTTTTATGAACCCGTATGCACTTGTGCATCGGCAATTGTGGGAAGTCTTTGTGATACACATTCAAACTAATTTGACAGACCCCAGGAAGAATGTTGTTTTTTAACTGTACAGCAGTAAATATGACAAACTGAATTTCCTTTTTTTCCTCCACTGCGGTACGTTAAATGAGTCACCAAATATCAAGAAAGAATTGAAGTGAAAAAGAAAAAGACCCTTTCTGTCAGTGGGGCTCACACCCCTAATAACTTTGTGCAAAGATAAGATGCTCTTTACTTGAGTGCCAGTGAAAAAAAAAAAGGAAGACTTTTCTTTTTACCATCAAGGAACCACCCCTTTAGCCAATGATGTTGCTGTGTCATCGTGATGTCACGGCCAACCGCCCTCCCACTGTACTCACGAGAGGTATAAAAAAACGCGTTCTTTAGTGGTCACGAACCTCAACAAATATTACTGCCTGCGCCGCTTGCAACAGTCTTATCAGTTCGTTCATTGTTGTCTTGCAAGCTGACTTGAGTGTTGTTCATCTCAATTGTATTTCCATGAAAAGCCTTGTTTGTGTATTGTGTGCAGTCTGATGAGCACGATTTCCATCTTGTTTCATCTACTGCATCAGCAGTCTGAGCTGCCTGGAAACAGCCGCTGATACTTGCACCTTTGATCGGTGCTTCAATGCCATGTGTGATGCAATGTGGTCATCGTAGCGAGCATGAAGCGCCGTGCGCTCTGCTGTTTTGTTCCTCCTGCATCTGAGGTGTATGTCTCTTCAGACTGTGACATAATCGTGCTAGTGCTATCTTGTCAACTTCTTGTCATGACACCACCCTTGCCGGGGCAGTGCCTTGTGCATGCACGCTTTTCAGGAACATGCACAAGCATGACTGAGCGAATAAAGAAAGAGGGGCTTTCTCCTTTGTGTTCAGTGCGATGTCATTTGTCACGGAAACACTACACACACGTCTGTTGTCAGACTCGACAGGTAGTGAGAACTGCTTGTTCATTTCTCATCGATTCTGTCAGTAAGTTGTAGGCAATAAAGCTGCAATTGACTACTCCAGCTGACCAACAAACTCTTTTACGTGTCATGTTCTGACATGAAAACAAAACAAATTGAACTAAATCTTGATCTTCCTTCAAAATTAGACTTCCAGAGGATCTAATTAAAGGCACAGATAGGAGCTTAAGTACAAGCGCTCCCTGTACATAGGCGCAACGCCATTGGCCATGCTTTCACGATGACTCCATTGGGCTGCAAGTCTTTTTTACTTGTACTCGAATATAATAGTGTCTTACAGTTGCTGCCTGGGCTACGAGTGGCCTAGGCAAAACATCCCAGGAATCAAACACACAAAAATAACTAATAATGTGGATCATGGCCCAATTGGTAGAGTAACTTGAAGGTATTGGGTCTGGGTCCCACCAAAAGAACAGGTTTCCTTTTTTTTTTTTGTACACTTTTACTCGTGCCAATCTATGTCACTCACAATTACTACACTGTTTTTTTTTAACAACGTCCCCCACGCTTTCTTAGGCCTCAACTCATTGTCTTGTGCACACAAAAGCAGATTGCAACTTACGGCAACGGTCGACCCGTTTTTGCCCACACCGCCCGACAGAATGACGGCAATGTCCGTGTAGCACATGATGATGGAGACAGAAAGCGCTGTTGCCACCGGCAGGAGCCGCAGTTCCACATTGAACAGCGGCAGCTGAGAGGCCACCACCCCCGTCAGAGGCCGTGCAAGCACCGGGCAGGAGGAGGGCAGGCAGAAGCACAGGCATCCATTCGTAAAGAGGACAGAGAGAAAGAGAAGGCTGTTAGTTGAAAGGGAAAGAGGAGGCACCTGTACAAACAGTCATCTTTCTGCTCATGTTCGTCAACACCTAATAGTGGAGGAATGGTCCATTGAGAAGTCATACAACGAGCCAAGCCTACTATTTGGGCAGTAAGCTATAGCTCTAGTAAGAAGCAAGTGTTAAAGGGCTCAGAGAAGTCCAATCTTTTACCAAGACACAGACACACAGAGTACGTCTTTGTCTACGTTCCCTGTGCTGTGAAACAGTAAGAATATGCTGCACCAACTAACCGAACACTCTACTTGGACAATTAATAAACTGCCCAATACAATAAGTCTGCAATTGATTTAGCAACAAAAAAGCCAGAAATATTTTGCTTTATCACTTAGCAAAGCTGACAAATGGGCGACGGTCAACACCTCTCAGAGACAAAATGCACAAGCTCTGGGCTGGGCCTCTGAGGGAGTTGGTATAAATTTGAGCTAAAATTGTTTCAGAGGCCTCACACAGATAACTATTGAGAGAGAGCTCAGACTGTTGCTAATGCATCCTGTCCCTATACAGAAGTCAAGATGCCAAGATAGGCTGAAAAAAGGTTACAGGCTCGAGTAGACAAGCTGCCAAAAAAGTTCGCCAGCCGCGCATGCAGATTGCTGCACCTGTTTTAGTCACGGGAAACAAGTTTGATTAGTGAGAGAACCGAGTTGACCCTCGGTGGCATCCCAAGCAGCACAGACGCACAGACCCGGTGAAGATGAGCCGTTGCCAAACCTTGATGCCGCTGGCAGACTTACGGCGACTGTCGAGCCATTCTTGCCGACCCCGCCGGTAAAGATGGTGCTCGCGTAGCTGACGAGGGCAATGCTGCCAGCGGTCAGCCCCGAGCAGAGGGGCAGGAACTTTAGGGGCAGCTCAATGAGGGGAACCTGCACAGGCCGCCCCTCTTGGTTGCCCTGCTGTGCTATCATCGGGCAAGAAACCTGCTCGCTCATCTGTTACAAGACCAGCAGGTTACTGCCCAACAATGCAGTTGTACAGGATCCCGTCTCAAAGATGGTGTTTAAAAGGAGCACAAAAAGACATCCACTCCTGTAATGATTGCATTGTTCTAATAAAGAAATTTGTGAGGGCTTTTATAATGGGCAGGGTAAAATTTCCCAGAGAAGACTCAAGTTGCAACACAGTATTATAACAATGGCTACCCTGAACATAACCAAAGAACCGGGCAGAAAAAAGACTAACTTTGCATTAAGGGTGCACAGTGACTTTGCTTCTAAGAAAGAAAAAGCTTGTGGGCAAGAAACTGCCTGTATGGGCATGAAGAATGGTTCTATAGATATTCTGCATTATAATAATGGTAATAATATCCAACGTTTCACATGACAAAAGCACAATATGATTACAGTACACTCGCGATAATTCAAACTCTGATAATTCATACTTTTTGTTAATTCAAACAAAATTCAATTTTTTGGCTGGCTCTCTGTAATTTCAATGTATTTAGAAGCCTCTTAATTCAAACTGCATGATTCGGTTAATTCATACTTTTGTGGTTCCATATCAGAAAATATCTGCTGCTTTCCCACAACTATTTAAAAATTTGGGTGTTTACATCGTCCTCACAGTCTAAAAATGAAAAACGCTTTGCTAGTAAACAAATGTTTGAAGTGAAGCACACACATCGTAAACAGCGATGCTTCTCAACTCGTAAAGAGAGCTTTGTGCTGAAGGCACATACAGCAAAGAAGCAAATGGCAACTCACAACTTCATTAGGAGGCCTGATCAGGAGTAAATGACCGTTAAACTTGTGGAACTTACACCTAGGCTTTCTGTTCATTGCGTATAGTAAAGGTTTTTGTAAAGGTTTAAAACGCTTTGAAATATTTAAATGTGGTGAAATCAATGCCTAACCCTAATGTGTGGTGTCACCTCATTGACAGTCATATATCTGAGAACACCTGATAATTCATACTTCTTGATAATTCAAACAAAATTCACAGGTCCCTTCGAGTTTGAATTAACAAGAGTTGACTGTACATTTGTGACCGCAGCAAATCCTAAAAGGCAGCTTTGCTGCAAAAGGAGAGTGTGATGGTTTGAAGCACACTAGAAATCTGAAGAGGTCACTTCCAATTGGAAATTGAGTGAACACTCTTTGGGAAGTTAGAAATGTTCGAATAGTAAAATTGTGATGCAAATCGAATAGCAAACACTATAAGAAAAATATTATAATTCTGAATATTCATGCACCCTTACTTGAAACACAACCATGAACCATATCATTTATTTCAGAATGAGCATGAAAATTTTAATAATTTTGGAGGTAATTGTTGATATTTTTCTAATGTTGACACCGAACATGGTTGAGAAGTGACCCTTATATGAGACATGAAAAAGGCCTTTTAATTTGCAATGTTAGGTGACCTTGTTCAAGTCACACACACACACATTGAAAAAAGCTCAGGTGTTGGCAATGTAATCAGAGAGTCTAGTAGAAAACAAATGTTGGTCCGAGTCTCTCACCTTGGTAGCCCAAATGTCAGAACCAAAGACGGCAGAGATAATGTGGATCATCATCACCGAGAACTGTGCTTCAGTCACATCGAACCTGTGCAGGCAATGCACAGATGATGAACAAAGCACTGAGTTCAATAGGTCAGCAAAAATCGTGGCGCTCAGGCTCACTCATGAAATATATTTAATGCTTAGGACTCGCTCGGATTCAGACTCGCTGAAGTTTCTCTGACTGAGACTCACCGAAAATATTGTTTACCTGGACTCACTACTCGGCCCAAGTCAGAGTGAGGCCTAGTGAGTGTACTCATGAGCGAATATCCCGACCTAAACAGAGTTCCAACAGAAAATGACCATGAGCAAAGGCTTAAGCCATGGCCACTTAGGAATCAGACGTAAACATCAACCATAAAATGCTAGAATAGCTGTTAACTGTGGCACTTTTGAGACACTTGAGTGACTGCACATGGCAGATTACTTTGGACCAGGCTAAGGATTCAGGAATACAGCAATTTAATCATTTAATAAAGTGAAGATGAAAATTGAAGAAAGAAGAAGGCATAAATGAAAAGTTACTTTATGGAATTCATAAATGGTGCCAAGAAACTAGTGCATTTTACATAGTCATCGCCAGGGCTAATTTTAGTTTTGATTCGAACCACCCCCACAAAATTACAACAATATCATTGCATGAAAATCAATTTCTCGTGCAATGCCGAAACGACTGAGGCCCAAGAGCTTTACAATCAGAAGGCCAGCTTGGCCATGCAGAAGCTTAGTTTTATTTGTACCAGCCACAGCGTTTTTCTCCGATCCGCCTTCTTCTGACCACGACGTTTTGCTCAATCGTGCCAGGCGCAAATTATGTTACACCATCTGCAAATGTGTAAACTTTGCATAGCACAATTTTAAGCCACTCCATTCCAAGAAAGAAGCATTCCAAGAAAGTGAATAAATGTGGTGTATTATGCTAGTCTCATTAATTATAATTAGCATGTCATCAAGTCCATTTATTACCCTGCAGTAAGTAATGTTCTACTTTTACATAACAAGAACAATATCTTAGGCTCAAAATGTGCGCACATTTAGTCTTTGGTTGTATTGATGCCAATAAACGAAAAATGGCAGTTTTGACATTGGTCCTGGAATGACCTGTCAAACATTGTAGGGCCCTCACCAAAGCAATTAGTATTGGCTATAGTCGTATGCCACACATTGAGATTAATTACCGACTATAATGAAAGTTACAATGAGCAATGTGTCTAGCTCGCTTTAGGCCACAAGTCAACGCAGCGAGCAGCACAATCAAGTTGCAAACACAAACGTTCCCACCACTGCTGAAGGAGATGATGGCTGGAAACGTAGCAGAAAGCCTGTTGAGGTTGCATATTTTGACATCAGATGCTGCTTTAGCACAGAAAGCTGCACACAAGTCTTTATAGCAACCAGCACTCCACCATGTCTGGCAGTATAAACAACTACATAAACACAACAAGCAACATTTCCAGTAGGTGCACATGCACATTCTGCGTGCGCTGGAAAAGTTTCCAGCAGCACTTGAAGCCTAGAGAGTGGGTTATCACTATGTACAAGGGGACTTTAAGCCCAACTGCATCAAGCAGGTATAACTGTCGTTCAAGCGCACGAATAAACACAAAGGAAGAGAGGACAAGCGCTTCTTTTTCAAAAGAGAAAAGGGCTTCTATCCTTTTTTTCAGGATAGCGAAATGGTTTTTCAATAAAATGATTGATATGTGGGGTATAACGTCCCAAAACCACCATATGATTATGAGAGACGCTGCAGTGGAGGGCTACGGAAATTTTGACCACCGGGGTTCTTTAACATGCATTGAAACATGCACACGGGCCTTTTTTCAATCAAACAATCAATTAACTCGTGAGATGACGGAAGCTTTTCACATAAGAAAAAGAGGAGAACAATGCCTCAGCCAGCCTTCTGTTTTGCTGCAGGATAAAGAGTTTGCTTTTCTAGATTATGTTTCTGAATAATTTTTCTACTTGTACTCTGTACTCTCGAGTTGCCACTGGTGTACTTTTTGCCTGCACACGCATGTGTTGTTTTTGATTGCCAGCGAATATATTCTCCTATTTCCAATAAATCGGCTGCTATCCTCTTTTTCAGGATACTGAAGTGGTTTTTTGATCAAACAATCAATTGACTTGTGAGTTGACGGAAGCTTTTCATATAAGAAACAGAGGAGAACAATGTGTCAGCCAGCCTTCAGTTTTGATGCACGATAAAGAGTTTGCTTTTCTAGATTATGTTTCTGGATAATCTTCCTGCTTTTACTCTGTATTCTCGAGTTGCCACTGGTGTACTTTTTGCCTGCATATGCATGAATCGTTTTTGATTGCCAGTTTATATATTCTTCTCTTTCTAATAAATAAGCGCTTGTCCTTTCTTCTTCTGTGTTTATTCGTGCGCTTGAACGACAGTTAACCTAGCATATCCAACTAGCCCAACTTTCGATTCTGTTGCATCAAGCAGGCTACGGCAGGTAGCATTGTGAGGTCTAGAGGCCGGATTTAGAGGCACTGAGAAATTGACTTTTGGGCGCCAAAAATAGGCAGGCTAAACACACTTTTAGGCCCCCAAAATTGTAAATGTAGACGCAATAAAGTCTTGCGAAAGTTCGAATTTCTGAACAAATACATGCCGAACCTGAGTCTACGACAGAACGCAAAAAAACATTGTTTTAGTTTATGATAGTGCAAAGGCACTAATAGCTTAGCATTGGCCGTGCAATTTTTGTTTTCCACAAGGTTTGCAGAACATGGTCTCACTTTTTATTGTTAAACATGGTGAGTTGAGTGTCCAAGGACGAATATACATGCTCCTGGATCTCTTTATTTTCAGCGTGGCTGAGAAGGACAGCACAGGATCAAATAACCAGACTGGTAATAGGCCAGAAGGGTCTTTTATCCTTGTATTAACTGGTTCTTATTTCAAGCAGGCAAGAGAAATGCATGCACTGGGCATTTCCTCTACAGAGATTTCCAACGCGATGCACCCTTGAAAAAGGTGAAATTTCAGAATGAACACCGCTTGCCCTTCATCTCACGAATCGAGCTGACATATACAACAAGGGATGGTCCTGCATACGTCAAAGTAGTACGAGACATTGCGAGAATTATCCAAGGCGACGTGTGTAATTTGTACAATCTGTTGCTTGAATAGAAGTATGAAAGTAATAGAAATATTGAAACATACAAACAGAATCAGTGCGCACTGTTTTTTTAAACTTACATGCGAGACTAAGCTGGCTCCATTTTGGTTGCGTTAATGTTCTCGCCGTTCTCGCATTGTGCCGGTGCTACCGCTGACAATGCTGGGCGTGTTTTTGGTGCATCGTCCCTTAAAACAGTTCTAGTGACACAACGTTGTGTATTGTGGTAAGGATACATGAGCTATGCCAGCCTCTCCGAATGTGCTTGCCTAGAGGGATCCATCTCAGAGGAATGCGCAGTAAAATACAGAGAACGCTGAAACGGCCCACCACCAGTTGCGTGCACGACCTAGCTTGGGCATGTCATGCTAATGTAACTTTGCCTGCACATGACATGTCGATGAGTCTGTGTCGTGCGGTCTTCAGGCTCCCAATCGCTATGATGCCGAAGGACTTTGGCTTGCCAAGTCTACAACGAGAGAGTGGCAAAGGTTTGCTCACCTGCTCGCATCATGCTTTCACGGCTCGTAATGAAAGTAATAAAAAAATTTTTGTAGAACAAAGCTTTTTATTGGACACACTACAACTTCTAGTGCCCAGCTAAAATTTTTTATGTGACCTGGTGAAGCACCCTTTGAGAATAAATGACAAACAAAACAACGTGGACACCTTTTTTACCTACACTTCACTTTCGTCTGATAACACCGCACGGTTTCACATTCGTTCTTCAACATCCTGCAGCTGCACAGAAGAACCTCCTTTTCTCTACACGTGCGAGCAGATGCCACGAAAATACACGTGTAAAAGCTATTTCGCCTTCTGATGGGCTAAGGGCCTTAGTAACCTTGACAGTGCTGAAAGGAACTTTGCACACCATAGAGTTCTGAAAGCCTGTAACGTTAATGCCGGTCTCCAACTGTACTGGAAATCAAAACTTGATGCTAAATAGTGCTTATATAAGCCCAGGTTTTGAAAATAGGCATTTATAGGCACTTTAAATTTAAGTGGCAGAGTAGGAAAGCAAGAAACAAAATAAGCATTTGCCTATAATCTGGTCTTTAGTGATGACCCTGGCCTGTGCAGTTATTGATTGCTGGTTCTATGCTTTGATTAAGATTACATGTTTTTTTTTGTTTTTTTTTTCAGATGCCCCATCTTGCTTGCGACTGCCTCATTGGCTAGAACAGGCTGTGCACGGACATACTGAGCAAGACAGCACTGTTCCTGAACAAGGCTGTGCACGGACATACTGAGCAAGACAGCACTGTTCCTGAACAAGGTCAGGCTTAGCCACTAAGTGCCGAGTGTCTCCCTGCGACTACACACAGCATGCAAGACAATACGCTTTTTTCAATCGGAATGCGCCAAGAAAGAACAAGCAGGGCAAAAATAATTTAAAAGTTAGAAGACAGCCCACGCTGCAAACACCATGGCTCTTTAGCATGTGCGCAGACCTCCTCAAACCTATTCTCATTAATTTCAGCATTTTCTTAAGTGCTGTGGCTGTCAGTTCAAAGCCACACTACAATAGACAATCCAATATTCCAATAATGAACGCAGATGCTAGTGGCAGTCGTGCTGCCAACATCCTGATGTGACCGGAGACTGGCATGCTTGTCGGAGGAAAAGCTTCCTAACGGAGAAAAGCGAAACGACATGGTGCTCACTTTCCAAAGCGCAGTGTCCCTGACACGTAGGTCTGCCAGTGGGCGCAGTAGAACAGGGTGATGGCCACAAAGCACTGGAAGAACATCCAGCCAGGATACGAGCCTAGCTTGACAGCTATGCACACCGCCAGGGCTACAAACACTGAAAAGAAAGACGGCGCACGACGAATGCTACAGCACCATGAATAAAGTCGCCCACAAGTGATCTGTGCCCCCCTCCTATCCTCCCCCCCAAAGTTTAAACGAGAGTTCATCAAAAAGACACACTGTCATTCAGCTAGGGCTCAATAAATTAGTAGAACGAAAACCCCAGGCTGCCATCACGATAGTTTGATGGACGGCATATTTGCAGGAAGACGTAGTCAAGTACTTGAAGGAGCAGCGACAACAAATTTCAAATTTGAGATGAGGCGTTCATTTGATTGTTGGCTATGCATCAGCTGTTTTAGCTATCCATGAGTTTTTTTTTAGCCGAGTATGAATGGCATCCGTTACGTAAAAGTTATTCTATTTCGAGCGCAAAGAGTGTCCAAAGGATTAAAGGAACGTTCCTGGCCATGAGACACCAGCAGTGTTTCAGCGCATTCGGGGAGCTTCTACGCCATGCCTCAGACGCCGAGTGACGATGAGAGTGCAGCGATGACGTCAACAATTTGTGTTGTCATCATGGTGTCTACATGTGGTACCATCTGGTGGCGGTGCTTGGCAACGGCTTCACTTGCTTTTTTGCTTGGTTTGTGCAGCGTGTTCATGTGAACCCTGCGTTTTCGATGTGCCACATCGAGCGATTTGTCATGGAGTCGTGCGCTCAAATGTCATTACTTGAAGCTACTGTCATCGTGAACAATTGAAATGCATGCAGCGTTCATATGTCTTACAAGCCAGCATGGCCCAGGCGTGCGTCTCCAGCTGCCTCGTTGCTGCTTGTTGAAGCATCGGTTTTAGAATCACTGCTCAGAGGAAAATAAAACCAAAAATAATTTGCCACGCCCCGAATCGCCACGATTCCAAATTCCTCAGCGTTTTCATTGTCGCTTGTGGCCGCTGAACTGCACGCTTTAGCTTGAGAAGATGATGTTTGATGTTTTATGGCGCAAGGGCCGATTCACGGCCAAAGAGCGCCAGTTCATCTTACTAAAAATATGGACAATGATTGTGATAAGCGGCTGTATAAGGGCCATAAAATTCCTCGCAGTAAGGCGGGTAAAAACATACAAGTAATAAAATCATGACCATGCCGTGAAAGGTGTGTGTGATGTGAACAGATGACAAAAGTTGGTGAAAATAAAAGACGATGGTGGATATGTATGGCAATAGCACAAGTGCCTCACTCGTTCAAACCCTTGCGTCCAAGGGCCGTGAGGCATGTGCTTTTTTGTGTAGCCACCGCAGCAAAAACCTCTCTGGAGAGGTGATGCTACGGTATGCCCGGGTATATGACATGAAAGCTGTGAATTTCTTTTAAAAACGCTAACAATGAATTATGACTAAAAAGTGGTTCCCTACCGACAAACATTGCAGGGTGTAAAGGTATATGTTGTCGGTAGAGTATTGGAAAATGTTGTTTTCTAAGAGTTTCTAAGTGTTTACACTGAATTAAAATGTGAAGGACGGTTAAGTATTCACCACATCTGTCACACAATGGTGGATTGCCACCAGACAAAAGGTGTGTGTGTGTCGTGTATGTGTGTCCTATCCTGAGTCTTGTTAGTGTTACCTCTGTTAGACGCGATTTTGATACTGGTGGCCAATGGCCAAGGTGTGGCTTGATAACGTGTAGTTTGTTTTGTGTGTATCCCACTTGCTCTGCCAGTAGTCCCTGAGTTTTCGTTTGAGAGACGGCTTAAGATCAAGGGCCGCGATTGATGTCGGTGTAACGGCGGTGCTTTCGTGGGCGGATGCAGCAAGCTGATCCGCCATCACGTTGCCTTGAATCTCACGGTGCCCTGGCACCCAGCACACAACAACATGTCTGTTGAGTGTGTAGAGGGTGCATAAATGGAGTAAAGTGAAACGAGGACAGGGTTTTTTTTGTTTTTTAAGACTGTGCAGAGCCGTTACCACACTGAGGGAGTCTGTATAAATTACTGCTTTTTGTATTTGTGATTGTTTGATATGTTTAGCTGCCACAAGTATCGCGTAAGCTTCCGCTGTGAGATACTTGTGCCTGGATGTAGAGGGCCAGCATCCGAAAAGGAGGGCCAACAGCAGCGTAGGACACAGAAGAGTTAGACTTAGAGGCATCTGTAAAAAACTCAGGACGTGTGTATTTGTGTTGAAGTTCCAAGAAGTATGTTCGAATATGGGCAATAGGTGCATGTTTTGTAACTTCTAAAAAAGACACATCGCAATCTATAGTCTGCCACTGCCACGGTGGCGGGTATGCAACAGGAGCCATTAAACTGTGTTCGAGTGACACTCCAGTGTCCTCAGCTAGACCCTTCAGGCGAACTGAGAAGGGCTGCCTCATTGAAGGCCTGTTTTGAAAAAGAATGGAGCTCGATAAGTCATTAATAGTAGAGTATGAGGGGTGCCTCTTGTCTGCTTTCACCTTAAGGAAATATACAAAGGACATGTAGGTTCTTTGCAGATGAAGGGACCACTCATTTGACTCAACGTAAAGGCTTTCTACGGGGCTGGTGCGAAAAGCACCCGTAGAAAGGCGGATGCCCGAATGGTGCACGGGATCCAGCATCTTCAAAGCACTTTGAGTCGCTGACTGATAAACAATGGCCCATAATCTAAGCGGGTGCGAATAAGGCTTCTATACAGGTTCATGAGGCATTTCCTGTCACTACCCCACGTAGTACGTGACAACACTTTTATAACATTCATGGCTTTTAAACATTTTGTTTTTAAATACTTTATGTGGGGTACGAAGGTCAACTTGTTGTCCAAGATTAAGCCTAAGAATTTATGCTCGGCTTTGACGGACAGTGGTTGCCCGTTCAGTTGAATGTCGGGTTCCGAGTGCATGCCTCTCTTTCGAGAGAACAAGACACACGTGCTTTTTTGTGGGTTAAGTCGAAATCCGTTTTCATCTGCCCATTTGGAGACCTTATTTAAACCAAGCTGAACCTGCCGCTCACACATGGCCAAGTTGCATGACTTGAAGCCAAGCTGAACGTCGTCGACATATGTACAATAGAACATATTGCGAGGGATGGACAAGTGCAAGGAATTCATCTTGATGAGAAAAAGTGTGCAGCTAAGTACACCACCTTGTGGCACGCCTGTTTCCTGAACGAAAGTTTGGGAAAGAACCGTGCCTACTCGGACACGGAATGTCCGGTTTGACAGGTAACTTTCGATTATGTGAAACATTCTTCCGCGTACGCCAAGGTGGGACAGGTCTCTTAGAATTCCGAAACGCCATGTTGTATCATAAGCCTTTTCGATATCGAGGAATACAGAGAGAAAATATTGTTTATGAACGAAAGTGTCTCTGATCTGTGCCTCGATACGAACAAGGTGGTCTGTCGTGGATCTACTCTCTCGAAACCCACACTGAAATGGGTCGAGCAAATTGTTTGTTTCAAGAAAGTGTACAAGTCGGCCGTTTATCATTTTTTCGAAGACTTTGCACAAGCAGCTTGTAAGTGCAATCGGCCTGTAACTCGAAGCTAAAGATGGGTCTTTGCCTTCTTTCAAAATGGAAATAACAATCGCCTCTTTCCAGGAGGTAGGAATAGTGCCAGAAGACCAAATAGCATTGTACAAACAAAGTAAGGTTTTTCGGGTTTCGTTTGGTAGGTTTTTTAACATTTCATACATCACACGGTCTGAACCTGGGGCGGAAGTACTGCAGGAGTTTAGAGATGTTTGGAGCTCAGCTAGACTGAGAGCTTGGTTATATGCCTCGTATCTAGTGGATTTGTGTTCGAGTTTCTGCTTTTCTATTCTTGTTCTGTATTTTTGGAAAGTGTCAGTATAGTGGCACGAGCTGGATACCTGTTCGAAGTGTGCACCGAGGAAGTTTGCCTGATCTTCCAAGGTATCACCCTGAGTGTTTACGAGGGGAAGTGTGTGTACTTGTTTTCCTGCTATCCTACCGACCATGTTCCAGACTTTAGCCTCCTGTGTGTATGAATTAACCCCTGATAAAAACTTCTGCCAGCTTTCTCTTCTGGCCTTCCGACGCGTTTTCCTGCCTTGAGACTTTATTTTCTTGAAGGTTTCAAGATTTTCGGCTGTCGGTGAGTTCCGAAGCAGCCTCCAGCTCTGTTTTGCTGTTTGCGCGCGTTTCGGCATTCAGAGTTCCACCATGGCACACGTCGTTTTCCAGGTTGTCCATTTGTTTGTGGGATGCATTTTGTAGCAGCATCAATCAAAAACGCTGTGAAGTAGTTCACAGCAACATCAATGTTCGAAGTACAGATGTCATTCCAACCTAGACTAGCGATAGTATAAAACTGTTCCCAGTCGGCTCTGTTTATTAGCCACTTGGAAACACGTGGTGGGCACTCGGTTACTGTAGTTGTGCTCAAGACTACGGGGAAGTGGTCACTTCCGTACAGATTAGTGACGACATTCCACTGGAGTAGAGGGACGAGAGATGGAGATGCTATGCTTAGGTCTATGGAGGAGTAGGTGTTATTGGCGATATTATAATAGGTTGGTTCTTTTCGATTCAGGAGACACGCGCTCGACGAGAGAAGGAACTGTTCGATCAGTCGACCTCGCGCGTCATACCGAGAGTCACCCCATAGCCTACTATGCGCGTTAAAGTCTCCAAGGAGAACATAAGGCTCCGGAAGTTCATCAATTAGAGAGTGTAAATCACTTTTCTGCAGCTGATAGCTAGGAGGAATGTAAATAGTGCAGATTGTGATCAGTTTATCAAAAAGAACCGCTCGAACAGCCACTGCCTCAAGGGATGTTTGGAGTTGTAAGTGTGTGCATGCAATTCCTTGATTCACTATGATGGCAACACCTCCGGATGAGGTCATGGCATCATCACGGTCCTTTCGAAAAATAACGTATTTGCGAAGGAAATTTGTGTGTTTTGAATTAAGGTGTGTTTCTTGTACACACAGCACTTTTGGTGAGTGTTCGTGTAGGAGTTCTTGGATGTCGTCAAGGTTTCTGAGAAGGCCCCTGACGTTCCATTGTATAATTTGAGTGTTCATGGTGAATGTAAAATAATGCTGTGTGTACGAAAAGCGAGTGGCTGTTTAGACGGGGAGTTTGAGTTCACTTAACAGGGCCGTCACCAGGCCCTGTTATTTGCTTTTTTGTTTTCTTGGCGCGCTCCAAGGAGCCACGCCGCTCTTTCGGCACCAAGGGTGCCGACGTATCCATTGCCTCCTCGGAGGCACTGGATGCCCGCACGTGCGGGCTGTTAGTTTGGATTTTGGGCCTCGCCTGGTGAGGGGAGGCCTTGAGACCCGAAGACTCTGGAGTCTCCGGTCTCTGTTTGGGAGTAGGCGGTGTAGCCTGGGCTACAGCCGCCTTGGGGGCAGGTGCCACAGCCGACGGCTCGCTCTGCGCAGGCCGAAGGGGTGGCGAGGGCTGGTGCGGCGTTGCCCCCTGACGCGCCGCATCAGCATATGTTGTGCCGTAAAATGGCGACACTCTTCGTCTTGCTTCTTTGAATGTGATGTTTTCTTTGACTTTAAGAGTGATTATTTCTTTTTCTTTCTTCCAGTTAGGACACGAACGCGAATACGCGGCGTGTTCTCCGTCACAATTCACGCAGTGAGCGTAGTAACACAGTTATCAGATGGGTGGCCGTGGCTACCACATCTTGCACAAGTTTCCTGACCCCGGCAGTTCTGCGAGCCATGACCAAATCGTTGACATTTATAACACCGTCTTGGATTGGGAATGTAGGGACGGACAGAGAGTTTGATGTATCCTGTGTCTATAGATGAAGGCAGTGTGCTAGATGCGAAGGTGAGTATTAAATGTTTGGTAGGTATTTCTTTGTTGTCTCGTCTGATGACGATTCGTTTCACATCTGTGACATTTTGCTCTTTCCACCCTTCAAGCAGTTCCTGTTCAGACATTTCAAGAAGGTCTGCTTCTGAAACAACTCCGCGTGAGGTGTTCATTGATCTATGCGGTGAAATAGATACTGGGATATTACCGAATGCTACGAGGCTGCCAAGTTTTTCATAGTGGTGTTTTTCAGGCAGCTCAAGGAGAAGGTCTCCGCTAGCCATCTTTGTAACCTTGTATCCTGGGCCAAAGACCTCTGTCAGAGATTTTGCAACAAGAAATGGAGATATTGCTCTGGCTTGTTTGTTGGGTTATCGCTGTGCACAACATGGAATTTGGGAAAGCATTGTCTGGGTTTGCTGAAAAATGATATGTCATCGGTGCGTCCCCTCTTAGGCGGGAGACGATCTAGGAGACGGGGAAATGCAGGTGTTCCCATAGTAGTGTACTTTTTGTTCGGCAGCAATGGCGACCACCCACCACGGAGTCCAACCAGGGGACGCTGAAGCACTTAATAGCATAAGGCTACAGACGCCAGCCGTACATTGCCACTATAACCAAATATAATTACTCAAGGTTAGCAATTACACAAGGTTAACCCTTGCCGCCATGAAAAATCGGAAGTAATGGAAGAGAGAAGAAGACAGGACAGATTTAAAGACGAGAAAAGACTAAGATGTAGGAAGAGAGAGATAGGAAAAGGCGACTGCCGATTTCCCCTGGGTGGGTCAGCCCAGGGGTGCCGTCTACGTGAAGCCGGGGCCAAAGAGGTGTGTTGCCTCTGCCGGGGGGCCTTAAAGGTCCAATCACCCAGCTTTGGCTCAACCCCCAGGATCCCCTTTTCCCCGGACACGGCAAAGCCACGCACGGCTAGGCGTGGGAGGGAGTAGAAACTCCCCCGTTAGCTCGGGTCCGTGGTGTCGCTACACACCAAACGCCTACTTGCGCAGGCGCCCCTGCGGGGTTTAGCTTGAGAAGACGAGAGTTTTAGAAAGTTATAGAAAGAAGCAGGAGCGGCAAATATTTTAGGCATATGTCATCAAGAAGTTGGGCAGCAAATGCATTAGTAAACCATCTGTTGACCTGTTTTCTTGTGAAGTAGACTATCTCGACGATTAGAGTAGTAGGTGGTTTTATTTGGTTTTATTTTGGTAAACAGTGTGGCAGTGCTAACGGTATCCCGTGGTTTCTCAGCTTTATTTGTACAACGAATGCAAAATAAAGCTTAGTTGCAAGTGCGCCTCTGTCCTGTCAACTACTTCCTCTTACAATATTATATGCGGCGCTACACACAATATTGCCACACAGACAAGGTCAAGTGCTCATCCTCATACTATGTGTGCTCTTCCAAAGGTGTTAATTTTTTGTTCTACGTTATTGAAAACCATGAAAGAGTTGCAAAAATTTATTTAAAAGTGAGAGAGGAGTAGCATGCATGTCAAGCTGCAAGCAAGTGAAGTGACACTGGTGTACAAGCGTGGGGTATGCCAAGCATTTGAACAGTTAAAGAAGCACTGAAAAATACTGTACACCATGCTTTGTTCTGTTACAGTAATAAGTAGTTAACAACCAGCTTATGAAGACTGGAAACCTGGTTTGCTCAATCGCACAAGAGTTAATTATTTGGAGGAGTTTTTACAACACCTAGTCCCAGTTTCAGTTATCACCAAATGGAGTCAGACTTGGCTCAGCCTTAAAACACAGCTTGCCCCGTGAACACACGCGGGAGCACCATGTTAACAGCTGCAAAAGGAAGCAAGCCAGCACGAGCTCATGACACAGTCGGTAGCTGGTCATTGTTTACATTCAAATCAAGTAGTTGACACAGTGAGGCGCTCTATTGCACATTCAGTTTTGCAGCACACACGTAAATTTTATTTTAAGCAGATTCCTCCAGATTCTTAACCATGATATTTTGTCCCACAAGCTAGCTTGCCTTCACAATTTTGAGTTAGTACTTCTTTAAACAGAAGGTTGACATTTAAGATTCCTCAAAAGCTTTGTAACAGCATTCTTTTTACTATGATGGCTTCATTTAAGATAGACATGAGTAAGTGTTTGCAAGTAATGACTCCTAAAGCAATGAAAAGAAGTAGCATCAGCAAGTTTATCCACAGTGCGACAAGAAAACACACAGTACATAATTTTGCACTAACACACAATATAAGAAACTTTTTATAATTAACAGCCTCTCCTAGTAAAAGATTTGAAACAAATTTTGGACAGTAGCTGTTATGATAATTTCACACTGGCGATACGAACGCTTTCTGATGTAGGTCACTTTATAAAAGCCTAATTCTAAGCAAGCATTCAGAACCCACAGCACCAATCTGTGCCATAGGAGCCATTTATGTTTACAAAATGCCTGTTGAGAAATTCACAGCAAAAAAAGCAGACTAGACGAGAAGGATGTGTACAAAAAGCATCCTTCTCCTCTGATGGCGTTTTACTGTGAATATGAATCAACTAGCCCAAAAGTACAACTTGACACACCGAGAAAGTTCACCATGCATTTTTGAGGAGTAAAGTTTAGAATAAGATCAGTATTCAGAATCAATTTTATTATTAAAAGTTGGGTAATGTTACAACCTTGAATTTTCTAAATCTTGTGTGGAATTTTAAAGTAAGTGGTCAGTAGCAGTAGCTCGCAGCACCTTGTCAAATGCCTCTCACCTGTCGAGATGGAGTCGCAGCCGTGGTCAAAGAGCTCCCCCAGAGGTGTGTTAGTGCCTGTGCGCCGTGCCTGTTTCCCGTCGCAAGCATCCAGCGTCTGGTAGACGAAGAGGCCAAGTGCACACAGCAAGAACGCCCATCGTGGAACCTGCCAGCGAGAACGTTTTTCAGCCGCTGCAACTTTGAACTAGCCCTGCTTTTACGAGGAACTTGCATGCCAGAGAGCGATACAGACAAAGGTTCATCCCACTGTGTCACTTAGCCAAGACACAAGATTCAGCCCAGGACTGTTTGTGGGCTGAAACACAGGCACATGACAATTTTCTGTCCAAGATGCGAAGGAACACCAAGGCTCACAAATTGCCTTGAAAAGCACTTATGCTGAAATTACCCACAAGATTTAATGAAAAACGAAACACCGCTACAGTGAGTTATCCCAAAATTTCAGCAGAACAATGGGAACTCTTGAAATATCGGTACACAAGTGTTCCTGCGCACTGCCTCCACTGCAATTGAGCTTGAAACAATTGGCTTGACGCGTCGGTCAGAGTTACTGCTGCGTATTAGGTAATAGTACACCCAGCATGCTTGAGGCCCACCTAATAGGAGAGAGTGAGTGAGTGAAACAACTTTACTGAGTCCACAATAAACGCGAGTTGACTAAGCATCACCTGGCTAGGTGCACTTGGGGACGGTCAGGTTAAACCTGTCCGCTCTCGCGTGAGCCCTCTGGGTGGCCAGGATTTGGGAGGTGAGGTCCTGGGCTTTGTTGAGCCTTTTCATTTACCTCACGGCGGAAAGGAGGGCCGGCAAAGGCACAGCCCCACAGGACATGCTCGAAGTCTGCATTACCCCCCCACAAGGGGAAATCCGAGCTTGAGAATCGTTCGAAGTATATTGTGTACAGTGCCGCAGGGCTCGGATAGGTTTTTGTTTGGAGCAGCCTGAGAGCAAAAGCTTGGGTCCTGCACAGCGAGGGGTGTGCTTGCAAGGGTTTTTTTTTGTTGTTGTTGTTAAGGCGTTTATTAGCCGGCAACGAGCGAGAATATACAATGGCGACAGTCACAGTCAAGCACGGGCTCTCCGCGCGAGCGGCGTCCTTGTTGGGTAGCCCCACTAGAGGGTACTCAAGAGCTCGACCCATTTCCGAGTTCGGAGGCTTCGCTACAAATACCCCGAGGTCGAAGACGGAGCCGCCTGGCGACCTAACAGCTTGTTACTATGAGCAGGTCATAATAAGCCTTCAGGCGCTCCACGTTGACGATGTCGCGCCCACGGCGGCGCATGTTCGAAGATTGTTCAACGGGTTCGATCAGATAGTCGACGGGTGAGGTGCCCTCGATGACACGGTAGGGGCCTTCGTATTTGGGACGTAGTTTGGAAGAGAGGCCAGCTGCAGAGGTCGGGATCGAGAGCCATACAAGCGCACCAGGAAGGAACGTGGGCTCAGAAGTGGTGAAGCCATCACGAATACTCTTCTGCCGCTCTTGCTCTTGCGTCGTGAAAGTCTTGGCAAGCTCGCGACACTCTTCAGCAAGCCTGGCTGTCTCGGAAATAGGTGTACACTCAGATGGATCCGGCGTGTACGGGAGTATCGTGTCCATAGTGTGCGACGGGTGCCTTCCGTACAGCAAGTAGAAAGGTGAAAAACCAGTCGTGCTCTGAGGGGCGGTGTTGTAGGTGTAGGTGACGAAGGGCAGTATATTATCCCAATTAGTGTGGTTGGCAGCGACGTACATAGAAAGCATGTCGCCGAGGGTGCGGTTAAAGCGTTCGGTGAGGCCATTCGTCTGTGGGTGGTAAGCAGTAGTTTTGCGGTGGACAGAATGGCACTCCGCCAGAATGGCTTCGACGACTTCCGACAAAAAGACACGGCCTCGATCGCTGAGAAGCTCTTGGGGTGGTCCGTGGCGCAGTATAAATTGATGCAGCAGGAAGGACGCAACATGGCGCGCAGTAGCCGCAGAGAGAGCGGCGGTTTCGGCGTATCGCGTTAAATGGTCAACGGCAACGATGGCCCAGCGGTGACCAGCCGACGTCAGAGGAAGTGGTCCATACAAATCGATACCTACGCGCCCAAAGGGACGGTCAGGGCAAGGTAACGGTTGCAGACCGGCGTGCGAAATGTGGGCTGACGGTTTACGGCGTTGGCAAGTGAGGCAAGAGCGAACGAACTGCTGCACATAGCGGTACATTCCGCGCCAGAAGTAGCGTTGTCGAATGCGATGGTAGGTTTTGAATACCCCAGAGTGCGCGCATTGCGGATCAGAATGGAAGGATTCACATATCTCTGACCGCAGACTGCGGGGTATCACGAGTAACTACTGCAGGCCGTCGGCGTCGTAATTGCGTCGGTGTAGAAGGCCGTCACGGATGGCGAAATGGCGAGCTTGACGACGCAAGGTACGCGTGGATGGCGTTGCGGATGGATCAGAGAGCATGTCGATGAGCGGGCCGATCCAATTATCCTTTCGCTGTTCAGTAGCGATGATGTCAACATCAATGGCAGAAACAGCAGCCGAGGATACTGAGCAGAGCACATCACCTTCAGGCAGAGGGGAGCGCGAGAGGGCGTCGGCGTCAGCATGCTGGCGTCCGTTGCGGTACAGCACGCGGATGTCGTAGTCTTGTAAGCGAAGAGCCCAACGGGCGAGACGGCCTGAGGGATCCTTCAATGATGAAAGCCAGCATAGTGCATGATGGTCGGTGACGAAATCGAATGGGCGACCATACAAATAAGGTCGAAACTTTGTAAGAGCCCAGACGATCGCCAGGCACTCTTTCTCCGTGACGGTGTAGTTTTTCTCGGCTTTCGTGAGCGTACGGATTGCATATGCTACGACATATTCAGGGAACCCTGGTTTTCGCTGCGCCAGGACAGCGCCGAGGCCTACACCGCTGGCGTCCGTGTGCACCTCCGTTGGGGCTGTGGGGTCGTAGTGGCGTAGAATGGGAGGCGACGTCAACAAATGGCGGAGCTTCGCGAACGCGTCGTCGCACTCGAATGACCAGGAATTGAAGGGCCCGTTACTTCCAAGGAGCTTCGTCAGCGGTGATATGATCGTGGCGAAATTTCGTATGAAGCGTCGGAAGTATGAGCACAGGCCCACGAAACTACGCAGTTCTTTGACAGATGCAGGTTTGGGGAATTCGGCCATGGCCTGAAGCTTGGCAGGATCAGGAAGAATGACGTCTTTGGACACGACGTACCCCAGTATGGTGAGTTACCGTGCTGCAAAGCGGCACTTTTTCAGATTTAGTTGCAAGCCGGCATTGCTCACACGTGCAAAACTTCTTTCAGACGTTGGAGATGCGTGGAGAAATCCGGAGCAAAGACAATGACATCGCAAAGACAATGACAACGGCATTACGTCGAACTCGTACAAGCCGTCTGGGGTGACGAAGGCAGTCTTTGGTCGAGCGTCGTCAGCCATAGGTACTTGCCAGTACCCCGAGCACAGATCGAGAGAAGAAAAAAAATCGGCTCCATGAAGGCTGTCAATCGCGTCATCGATGCGTGGCAGTGGATAAACATCCTTGCGAGTGATCTTATTGAGCCGTCTGTAGTCCACACAGAACCGCACAGAACCGTCTTTCTTCGCAATAAGAACAGGAGACGCCCATGGACTGTCCGAGGGCCGAATAACGTCACGTCGGAGCATATCGTCAACCTGATCATTAATTACTCGACGTTCAGCAGGCGACACGCGATATGGATGTTGCCGTAAAGGTGGATGGGCACCAGTGTCGATGCGATGCGTAACAACGGACGTGCGACCGAGAGAACTTCGCCCGACATCGAAAGAAGAAGGACATTCTTGTAACAGGTCCAGAAGTTGGGAACGCTGTACGGCCGTAAGGTTGTCAGCGATGGAGGGGCCAAATACATCAGCAGACGACAAATCAGAAGTGGAAACAGCATTGATGGTACACGACCTGGGACCGTGCGTGTCATCGGGTACGTCCAGGACTTGTGCGTCGTCGACTGGTTCCACTCTGCCGAGACATTCCCCTCGAAGCAAGGTAACAGCATACGGGGACGGGTTGGTTACAAAAATAGCAGTGTTGCCCTGGTTGACTTGCACGGTCGCGAAAGGTACTAGCAACCCTTTCCTGCTGCAAGCGCGGTCAGATGGCGAAACAAGTCCAATAGTGTCGGAGAGACCAGCGCAGTAGACAGGCACAGCCGTCGTCGAGTTTGGAGGCACTGTTGTATCGTCTTTCGTTAGAATCTTGCTCTGTGTCGGGGGACTGTCTTCTGGCGTCAAATGCGAGAAGGGTGAGAGCTCAATTTCGGCGGCGGCACAATGGATGATGGCGTCATGGCGTGAGAGAAAGTCCCATCCCAGGATGACGTCATGAGAGCATGCCTGAATGATGATGAACTGGGCGACATACAGAACGTCCTGGATGACAACGCGAGCTGTGCACCCTGCTGTAGGATGAATGCGGTGCAAACTTGCAGAACAGAGCGATAACCCAGAAAAGTGGCATCGTCACTTTTCGAAGTAAGCGGTAGAGTTTTCCAGTCCATAACTGATACGGCAGCTCCAGTGTCAATAAGAGCCGATGCACAAACACCGTCCACAAGCACGTCAATGACATTCGAGGGGCTGCTCTGAGGGCTTTCACATTGCGATAGCGTCGCAGTCCTTGCCTCGGGGACTGCGACGACTAGTTTTCCCGCTCATGAGCTGCCGCACTTGGCCACATGGGAGACAGGTAACGGCGTCGTAGAGACGGTGATCTTCGAGATGGACCTGGGCGAGATCGAGGTGGCACAGACGGCGGTTCTTCGCGATAAGGACGGCTGAGTTGGCCAGCAACAGGTGAAGAAATTGGAGCTGGCTGTACGCGACGGCAATAACGGGCCACGTGACCGGGGTAACCGCAGGCAAAGCAGATGGGACGGTTGTCGGGTGTGCGCCATCTGTTCACCGGGGTAGGTCTCACCCATTTCGCAAGGGCTGATGGACGGAACGGTGGCTGCATGGTGGACTGAAGCTGAGGCTGAGGGGTTACGTCAAGATACGTAGCAGGCACACCCGCTGCAAAGGACGGAGGTCGAGCGGCAGCTTCGGCGTAAGTCAGAGGGGGGGTTGCTGGAACGACTTGGGGCGGCCTGGCGACCACTTGCGCGTAACTCAG